TGTTCATCAGTCTATGTTGTTCACCATTTCCCCTAGATGAGTGAGATCATGTCCTACTGGAAATACACTTTTAAGAACCGAAAATGAGACAAGCAATAGTGGCTATGCTGAAAGGCAAACTCAGTCTGTAGTGAGTTTCTTTCTGGGCCAGCAGTACATGCATTCTTGAGACCACCTTTCTCTTATACTCCTGTTCATTCTTGCTTCCATTTCTTTGCTAATGATTATACCCTTCCTTCCTTCCTTCCTTCCATGTGCTCAAATTATTCTCACCTTCCATCTCCTTCACCCCTGGCAGGCATAGCATTAGGGGGTGGGATGTGTCCAGGAGGTTCCTGCCTGGAAGGGCCTCCGGGTCTGGGTGGAAGAGACAGGCACAATCACTCCTAGCCCTGGAGGTCACAGCTGGGAAAAGGGCAGGACCTGGATGGGTGTGTCATTCCTAACCAGAGAGGAAACCATGCACGCCCTGTGATGGCCACTAACTGGAGTTCCTCCGTCCCCAGTGCTGTGCGGCCCTCCTCCGGCGGTGGAGAACGCTTCGCCCATCGGTGCCAGCAAGGCCAAGTTCAACATCCACGCCACCGTGCGCTACCGGTGCGACGAAGGGTTCACCCAGCACCACATGTCCGTAATCCGGTGCCAGAGTAATGGCAAGTGGGACAGGCCCCAGATCGTCTGTACCAAGCGTAAGTGGCCCCCCCCCCAACCCCAACGACAACCCAGCACGTTTCCAGCTGTTTGTAGTCTCCAATGAGAACATCTGGTGACTATACACACTGATAACACAGCCTTGCAGATAAAGACCAGCCTGCGTGGTGTTTCCTCCCTTTCCCTTCCCCCTGGGGAGGCTCGCTGCATCAGGCCGCTGCTTCTCACCACCTCTGGCTACGCCCCCTGTCTTCCTTCATTTCCCTGCAGCCAGGAGGTCCCATCGGATGCGGCGACACCATCACCACCACCGTCACCACCAACGCCACCACCACAAGTCACACAAGGAGCGCAGAAAACACAAGAAGCATCCGGCGGAGGACTGGGAGAAGGAGGAAGGGAACTTCTGCTGAAGAGCCAGGCAAACGAAAGCACAACCCCCTCCCCACGCCTCCTCTGGAGCCTTTGCCCGGGAAGGTCGAGCCAAGAGCAACAGGAGGGTCCAGAAGCCCCTCAGCCCCAACCCCCTCCCCAATCTTTTGTAAAAAGCTCCTCTCTCCTCTTTCTTACACACAGGTCCTCTCGGCAGGTGTAGCCATGTGTCTGAAGGTCCAATCCTAGTCAGGCCGGACTCTGGTAGAATTTCAGTGGAAGGAAGCACAATTGGCAAAGACCACTCTTTGCTGCACTGGTTAGTCTTTTGTTGGCAAGGCTCATTGCCGGTTGTTGAAATAAGGCTTTGATGGGGGTGCAAGAATGTATGTTTGGCTTTGCACTAAGGAATTGCTTTTCACACCAGATCCAGGCTTTGTACATTGCCGGATGTCCTACATGCAGCCTGAAGGCTTTAGTGACGGTCAGTGGTTTTGGTAGTAAAAAACGACATGGAAGCACACTGCTGGAACTTGAACCCAAGTTCAGTCTTTGGTCTTGGTGGATAAACAGTCTTGAACTCCTATGTACTGAATTTTAGGAATGTTTTTAGAGCAGCTTCCTTCCATCCCCTCAGAGTCAGGGGTCAGAACAGTTCAGGGCACTAGGTGGGCAATGCAGTGAAGGTCCTGCTTATCCTCCCAGGTCTTGTCCCAGAGCTGAGATGTGATGGTTCTGCATGTGTGGTGAAACACACACACACGCATGCACACGCACACGCACACACATACACCACACAAGCAAGAGGATATTTAGGGCTTGACAAGCCCAGATTTCTTCCCCCTCCATCTCTCAGGGAGACGAAGAACCTCCTTCCTGGACCAAGGAGGTGCCAAGTTTTCTAGATCAGAGCCCCTACCCATCCCTCAAGCAGACATTGTTAGTGCACTGCCCTGGGTCCCACTCCTATCTCCACCCCATCCCTGTCTCCAGCCATTGCCTGGAAGATTAGAAATGCTTAAATATTAAAGTAATGACATCTACCTGAAGTCATGTTGTAAAGAGATGCCGTGTTAAAATGGAAACACACACCTTTTTCTCTCATAGATTTTTTTAAAAAAATATTTTTATTGATTTCAGAGAAGAAGGGAGGAGAGATAGAAATATCCATGATGAGAGAGAATTATTGACTGGCTGTCTTCTGCATACCCCCTATTGGAGATTGAGCTGCAACCGGACATGTGCCCTTGACTGGAATCGAACCCAGGACCCTTCAGTCCGCAGGCCAGCACTCTATCCACTGAGCCAAACTGGCTACTGCCATAGTTTGTTAGTTTTTGGGTTTTGTTTTTTTTAAAGCTTTTTTAAGTGGGAAAGAATGCAGCTGGCCTTTCCCCCCCAAATCTGCAACCTATGAAAAGACTTTGCAAGCTGAAGGCCAGGACCACCTCCCTGGTCCCTAGGAGGAAAGACCCTTTTCCTCCATGTTTTGTCTACTCTAAGCCCCTTCAGGCTGGTAAAGACCTGTGGATGAGTATTAAAAACCACTCTCCAGGAAAGAAAGCTAAGCAAATATATGGTTCATGTAAGGGTTGAGTAGAGAAAGGTATGTGTTGACTGAGCCTATACCCTCCTGGGAAGTAATAATTATAGTTGACACATTTGGAATAGGTGCCATGCTAATAACTTACACTAGAATCTTCTCAACAGCCCATTGACTTAGGAACAATTACGGTCCAATTTTCCACATGACAAATCGGGCTCAGATAAGAGAAAGGCACTGGCTTCAAGCCACAGTCAAGGCAGAAGTAAGGAGTTGGTTCTACCTCTGTCTGAGTCCAAACACTGCTCTCTGCATTGAGGAAGGAATTGAGACATAATTGTGCTCCCTCTCATACACACACACACACACACACACACACACACACACACACAGGCAGATTTAGAAAAAGACTGAAAAGTGCACACTAGACCCTCATCCTTGACCATGGTCTTGAGTCTTCCCTGCTTTAGACATTATCCACTGTTCCACCATATGGTTATCACTGAGAAAACCCAGGGATATAGGTTTGCCTTCTTGCTTTGATAATTCTTGGTTTTAAAAAATAGAGTAATCATTAACACATCTTCAGTCATCCATATCACAAAAGAATTTTCCTTTGTTGGGGGCCTGGGATGCAACTCTTTGGGAGTGTCTTTGTTTATGCTCTCTGCCTTGGCCCCCTCAGCCCCTTGCCCTGCCCCCACCCCAGCTCCATGGTGGGAGGGGACTATGGTATTTTCTAAAGTGGGTGGTTTGTCTTTTGGTCTTTCCCTTTAGGGTTTGTGTGGGCCACGTGTGTGGCATGTGTGTGCGCGTGTGAACAGGTTCCACTGGTTTTGCTGTGAGCTGCAGTGTTCTGTGGGTCTGTGGTATCTGACACTGTGGACATTAATGTACTTCTTGGACATTTTAATAAAAATTTTTAACAGTTCAGCAAGCCTGTTGCCTCCTGACACTATCTTTGTTCATTCACCCACCAGGTACTTACTGAGAAGCTATTATGAGCTGTGTACTGTGCTTGGTGCTGGGGAGATAGTGGTGCATAAGACAGATGTGGGACTTGGGAGGTGGTCAGGGAAGGCTTCCTAGAGGAGACAGATGGGATCTAAAGAAGTTGTATCAACTAGATGATGAGGAAAATAAAGAAAAAGCTTCAGGCAGAGGGAAGAGCAAAGGCAAAAATCCTCTTGCAAAAGGGAACAGGGTCATTTGAGAAACAGCAAGGAGACCATAGTTATAGGACTCAAATTGATTTGTTTTCCAGCACATAGTGACTGGAGCAGAGTGACAAAGGTAGAGAGTGAAGGGAGATGAGGACAGAAAGGCAAAAGATGGACTATTCAGGGCTATATGGACTGTAGTGAGGAGTTGGGGCTTAATTCTAAAAGCTGTAGTGGCAACGAACACCATAAGTAAGTTCAAAAAGCGAATGCCAAACTTAGAAACAATTTTCAAACAGAGGTAAAAGACTTCTTGCCTTAATATATAAAGAGCTCCTACAAATCAATGGGAAAAAGAAAACCTAATAATCCAATAGCTGAATGTGCAAAGGTTATGAACAAAACATTCACAGAAAAGGAAGTACAGATGGCTCTTAAACTACAATATGTCCTAAACAAAATAATACACTTTTTGCATGAACACCAAGAAAAACAAAGAAGAGCATATTTTTAAAAGAGGGAATGACATCTACTAAGAGATGAAGCTTTGCATAGATCAATGATGGCCATATACTTAAATTGACCATGGCTTGTGATTTACTCAACCATCTGCACCTAAGGTCTAAGTGGAGGATGTTCAGCTTCACACCTAAGAGAACTGCAAGTGAGATTCCATTTTCACTTATCACGTTGGCTAAGGTAAAAAGCGATAGCACGATGCTGGTGAGGTTGTGTGGAAACAGCAAGTATGTCTGATGGAATGTAAATTGGCCTTACCTCTAAGAAGGGGTGGACATCACTATCAGAATGGCAAGTTTTGATCTCTCGATCCATCAACTGATAGCATCCTCCTGTGGTACTGTGTGAGATGATGTGGGTGCTTATTACTAACAGCAAAATATGGGAAACGAAGTGTCCACCATTAGGAGACTGGCTACAAAAATTATGGTGCATCCAAACAATGCAAACTCTGCCGACCTTCAAAAAATGCTTTGGGGGAATCTTTACATGTTGATGGAAACTATCTCAAAAAGACATTATTAAGTAAAATAATAGTTACTTTTAAAGTATGCATGGTACACAAATGTTCATAACAGTGTTATCCACAATCATCAAAATGTCCACCAACTGATAAATGAATATTTTAAATGTGGTACACACATACCATGGAATATTAGTCAGCCATAAAATGAATGAAACACTGACACAAACTACTACATAGATGAACCTCAAAAACATTATGCTAAGTGAAAGAAGCCAGACACAAAAGGACATATATTGCACGATTCCGTTTATAGGAAATATCAAGAATAGGCAAATCCATGGATGCAGAAAGTAGATTAGCATTTGCCAGGGCAGTGGAGGAGGAAAGAATGGGGAGCACTTGCTTAAAGGAGGGGGGATGTCTTTTGGGGCAATGGAAATGTCTAAGAACTAGATGGTCGTACAACATTATAAATATGCAAAATGCCACTGAATGGAGTGCTTTAAAACATTTACAATGGTGAATTTTATGTTATATAAATTTTACACTATAAGAAAGTATATGCTGCCATCAATTGTGTAAAAGTGGGGAAAGAAACGTATATGTATGTTTGCTTGACTGAACATAAAACATCTCTGGAGGGACATGTAAGAAACTTTGGGAAGTAAACTGGGAAGTAGAGGATGGGGGAAGGGAGAAAGTGAGGGGGGGGTGGTCTGAATATCTGGCTTGTGGGAGAGTTCCATCCAAGTTGCCATCCCTTAGCTGTCCTCCCAATGGACCCTGGAGACATCCACTCCAACAGCAGTGATCCCAGTGGAAGGGAGGTTCCCTCTGCCCAATCATCCAGCAAAATCCCAGGGACTACTTCTCATTGGTCTGCATGGGCCCCCCAAACCCCCGAGTCCATCTCTGGACCAATCAGAGCTGCCCAGGGAGATGGGCCATATCGCTCACTGGCCGAGCTGCAAGGTGGTGGAGTCAGCTCCTCCATATCTTATGAGTGGAGGTAGTTACGTACTCACTGGAAACCAAGGAGCTGGAACAGTGGAAGGGAGAAAGTATGTCAGCAGGGAACAGGCAGGATAAAAGAAATCCCATGCAGGAATCTCTGTGTACATGCCCCTCACCCCAGTCCCCTGTTTGAGGATGCTAAGGCCCAAGGTAGTCTCATCAAGGAGCTGGACCCTGCATCAGAGGAACAGCTTGCGTATGGAAGCTTGGTCAAGTCTGGTATAAAAGGATGAACCGTTATATCGACCATCTCGCTTCTGCAACCAAATCACACTCTTTCTCTTCTCCTTTTGTTTGTATCTCAGAAACTTCCAATGCTGCTCAGACCACACCCCCACACCCAACCCTACCTACATTCCAGGAAAATTGCAACCTCTCTGCCTTCCAGAAGCAGGAAGTCCCCATCCAGTGTCACACACTGGACACTGACAGGGTTTGTCAGAGACCCAATCAGGACAGGACTGAGAAGTGCCAGACCTATAGGGGGTAGCTCAAAGAAAAGGGGGGAGGAGAATGGGTGAAAGAAGAGGAGATTGAGGAGTGGGATGTGGTCCGGAGGAATGAGGACCTTCTGATTGGATTACCACTAAGTACCTCCCACTGGGAAACATGTTGTCCACCAAACTGCATTTTGAAGTAATTAGCTGCCTTTTTCTCGTTATATATATGTATATCTCCTTCTGTATGCTTTGCACTCACTGGGACCTCGAAGCAGCCCTGATACAGAGGAGGAAATAGGCTCAGGGGTTTTGTCACTTGGTCACAGGTAGGATTAGAGTCCAAGGGTTCCCAGCCCACATGGGTTTCCTCAAGATGGGTGGGACAGGACAGAGGGCTCCAGGAGGTCCCCAGTGCTACTCCAGGTGAGACCATGGCATTGGGATTTCCCACGGCTGGGTGGCTCTCTGCACTGGAGAGTTTGGCTGGGTTCTGACTTCTTTAAGTAACAACCTCCTCTTAAGCCCTGGCCAGGTAGTTCAATGGGTTACAGCTTCATCCCGATACGTCAACATTGCAGGTTTGATCCCTGGTCAGGGCACAAACAAGAATCAATCAATGAATGCACAAATAAGTGGAATAAATCAATGTGTTTCTCTCTCCCTCTCTCTAAAATCAATACATTAAAAAAAAAAATCTCCCCTTAAAACCTGGAGCTCAGAGTGGATTTTAAAGTTTAAGAACATTCTGTCTCTCCTGGATCTCCTAGGAGGAAAATAGGGATTGGGGGATTGGGGAAGAAAAGAAGAGCCCAATGAGAATGGGGATGGGGTCTGAGAGAGGAAAAGGGGAGCCCAGTGCTTGCACAGCTCCAAGGGCCAAGGCATGCCAGCGCCTCGGTTTGCCCATCTGTACGAGGCAATGAAAATACCTGGGTGTCCCAAGGGTAGATCGTGCACAGCTGCTGTCTGGGAGATAGTTGGCGTGCAGTTGGGGGGTTTACAGCAGCCCGATAAGTCCAGCCCTGTCTGGAGATGCTGCCTGGGGCTGAGCCCACCTGGTGAAGGGACAGCCATTAAGCCCTAGAGGGTACAGTTCCTGCCCACGGTAAGTTCCTGAGAGCTGGGAGTTAGTTGTCATGGGAATGACATTAACAGTCTCTATGGTAACAACCCGGTGGGCAGGGCCCTACCAACAAGGAAAAGCCTAGGGAGACAGGTGTTCTGTTACCTCAGACTCCGGTTTGGTCTCCATGGCAACAGATGTTTAACTTGGAGGGTGGCAAGGAGCTGGGGTGGGCCTGGGGAAAGGGCAGCACGTTTCCATGGTGAAAGCTGGAGGACTGAATGTTGTTGGTTAACTCTCTGGACGGTTGGGGGAAGGGTGGTCTCCATGGCTGTTGGTCAGGGTGGGGACAACTGAAGTGGAGTTGTAGGCCTCCAGGATGGAGAAAGTATGGTATCCATGGTTACAGCTAGAGGCTGGAGGCGCTATCTCCATGGGTGTGACTGATGAGGGAAGGGTTGTGTGAGTGGCAAGAAGAAGGGCTGGTCACCTTAGAGACAATGGGAAGTGGCGTGGCTTGCCTCCGGAGCATGGATCTTATAGGCCCCCGTGTCCTGGAAATGGTTTCTCTGGTGACAGCCAGGAGAAAGGAGGTCAGGTGGGGGTGGACTTGCCCTTCCAGAGAGATACCTGAGGGTGGGGCAGCCAGTCATGCAAGCCAGCTGGGGCATTTCAGTCTGTCTTAGCGGTAACAAAAGGTGGTCTCTCCTAAAACCGGAGAGAGGAGGCAGCGGGGCCACAGTCCACGGTGACCTGGGGACTTGGTCTCTTCCTACAGAAATTTCAGGGGACTTGAGGGGGAGGGGTAAACGATAGGAGCACCCCATCAACAGGTCACCGAAGGGGAGAAGATAGGAGACCACATGTGACTATGGGGGCGTGGCCACCTGTCAAATGTGCTGCTTCTAGTTTCTCTACAGGTGATAGGAGGATGGTTCAGTTGCCAGGTGCCCGTTAAGTCTTCAGTCTCCAGGGAGATGCAGAGGGCGTGGGTCCAGCCACCAGGTGACCACTGAGATGGTTCTGTGTTCCGGTGGCCTTGGGAGGAGTGGTCTTCAGGAGACCTTGGGGTCTGCTGGCCTGCAGGGGGCATCAGGGGGTGTGCCTGGTCTGCTGGAGAAAGTCAGGGGGAGAGGAGAAATCCACTGTCCAAGAAAGGGGAGCTTGGTCAGGGTCCAGGGGACTCCAGGAGGCTTGTCTCTGGGGGTGTGGTCAGTGCTCAAGGACCACAGCAGCTTGGTCAGCCAGGAGGGCACCACAGGGGGCGTGGTCCAGGGGACAACAGGGAACAATGCCAGCCCCTAAGCGCTCCCCTCTCCCCCATCCCCAGCCCTCCATGGCCTCTGGGCCTAGACGCGCAGCGGCGTCCAGGCAGCGGGGTCTCGCGCGCCTCCGGCCCAGCCGCCGCCTCCCGCCCAGCCCCAGCCCCAGCCGCCGGGTGCGGGGTCCGGCGCGCCCGGCGCGCGGTAGCAGTAGACGCCGAAGAGGCGGCGCCCGGGGTCGGGAAAGCCGAGGTTGCGCACGCCGGGCCGGAGGCCCCCGCAGCGCGCGCGCGGGTTCACGATGGGGTAGCGCGCGCTCCCGTCGGCCAGCCAGCCCGCGGTGCAGCGGTCCAGCAGCTGCAGCTTCCACGCGGCGAACAGCTGCCCCACTTTGGCCACCGCCGCCCCGCGCGCCGCGCACGCGCGCGCTGCTCCAGAGAAGGGTAGGGGCCGCAGCGGCTTCAGGAAGAACACGCGCCCTGCGGGGTGGGGGTGGGGGAGGAGAGTGGTTTGGACCGTGCCGGGGCCTGGCCTCTTAGGGATTCAGGACGACCCCTCCCGACCGCCTGCAGCCCAGGACCCCAGCCTCAAGATGAAAGCGCATCCCCTCCAACCCCTGCGGCCCGGGACCCCTGCCTCGGCCTGAGCAGCGTTTGCGCGACGTGGCGGCCCGGGGGAAGGATGCCCTGATCTGGCCTCCAGAGGGCAAAGGCGGGGGGAGAAGAAACTGGGGGTGAGGCGGGGTGGGAAAGGGAGACGGAGAGGAAGGGGGTCCCGGAAGAGGCCTGGCGCGGGAGGGGAGGGCGCGTCTTCCCAGGGCGGGGCCCACGCACCGGGCAGGTTGGACGTGAAGCAGAAGGCGTCGTAGCGCTCCCCCGCGTTGTGCCGGTAGCCGTAGTTGCGCACGCCCCCGGCGGCACCTCCGCCAGCCCGGGCGTCCCCGGCCCCGCGCAGGCCGCCGCAGGGCTCCCGGGGCCGGCTCACCGGGTACTGCACCGAGCCGTCGCGCAGCCAGCCCGCGTTGCACCAGTCCAGGCCGTCGCGCCAGGCTGTGTGCAGCTGCTCCGCCGACGCCAGGATGCCGTCCTGTTCCCCGCAGGCGCGCTGTGCCTCCGTGAAACTCAGCTTGTAGCGGCCTCCGCGGGGGTGGTAAGGGAAGACCACACCTGGGAAAACACAAGGGAGTCAGCTAAGCGCCCCCCCCCCCCAATCATCTCCCACCCACCTGACATCTGGGGTGCCCTGTTTCACTTCAACCTAGATCTTCCAGTCCATCCCTCACTCTGGTCTCAGATCTGACCATGCCTTTTTCCAGCTCACACTCCTCCTGGCTCCCTTTGCCTTAAGCTTGATTCACTTGACCCTCGTCCTTAACACACTTAAGCGTGTCTACCCCCTTTCCACCGCTGGAGACATTTGTTCATGTTCTTTCCACCTGAGGAACTCCTATTCATCCTTCAAAACCCAGCCCCCACAACAATCCTCTTCCATTCAGTCTTAGGTGCTTCGGACATTCTGCCAGCACTAGGACCTTCCCTCTGATCAAGCCCTGAGTCCACAAAGCTGGGAATGTCTATGCCGGGTGCTGGCTCCCCACACTGGGAGCCCCTGAAAAGGTGGACCCTGGGCAGAACTCCCTTTGATCCGCAGCTTTGTCCGGGGCAGTCAGTACCCCCTTGGTTTTCCTTCCACCATCAGTCGTTAGAACTCGTCAGACTTGCAGTCAACTCAGCTCACAAGTGTTCTGTCTGTCTGTGGTTGAAGGGCGGACCTTGGGGGGTTATTGGGTACCCTCAGCCGGTGCAGGAAGGAGGCAAAAAGGGACCAGGGAGAAGACTCGGAGCCTGGGGTGTACGTCCGGGCTCTGCTGCTCACTATCATGTGCCCTTGGCAAGGGCCTAACCTCTTGGCTAGTTGAATCATTCTCAGGGGTTTGGGGAAAATTAAATGAGAAACTCCAGGCACCTCTTCAACCAAGTGCCTGGCACAAGTCAATACCCAGCAAAGGAGAATTGCTGCTATTGTTGTGCTGTTATTTGCTATTGTTGGGAAGTTTGGCAAGTGAAGGCCCTAAAATCTTTCCAAGCATCTGCTAAAGTTTAGAATCTAAATGACTCAAGAAGGCAAACCAGGAGGAAGGGAATTTTTTTCCAGGTAGAAACCCCACCTCCGAGCTCAGCTGTCAGCCAATCAGAGCACCCCCATCTTCTGGCCACAGCCGGGCACATGACTCAAAAGCTGAGCCCAATCAGGGACAAGTCTGGGACTTCTAGGAAATCAGTTGCTAAGCTGGGAGGATGGAATTCTGGTTTGGATTTTCCCGTTTCATCAGGGGAAACTTGCAAGAGGAAAGCCCACCCAGGGAATCAGCGCTGAGGGAGGGACTCCTGACATGATATGAGTGCCTGGGTCTTACTGTGCCAGGATCCTGCACCAGGGTTTCCCAACATCCTCTCTATTGGTATTCTGGACTTGGGTTTTGTTTTTGTTTTTTGCCCTTGGGGAACTGTCCTGTGCTTTGTGGCATATATCACAGTATCTCTGGCCTCTACCCACCAGATGCCACCAGCAACCCCCTGTTAGAGGTTACAGTGTCCCTTCCCTGAGTAGCAATAATCACCCTGAATCAAACCACCCCACCAACCCTCTAAATTCCTGCAGACCAAGGATTTGGTTTCTCTTCCCTGCTATCCCCTCCCCTCTCCTCCCTTAGAAATGCCTCTCATCCTGCCCACAGGCTGGTCGGTCACCTTCCAGGTCCAGCTTGACCATGCCGGTGTCATCCTCCAGCTCGTTGGTGACCTCGCACTCGTAGTGCCCGTAGTCTTGCAGTGTGACATTTCGGAGAACCAAGGAGGCGTCGCCAGGACCGTCGCCCTGCAGCTCGGCCCGCCCTCGGTAGTTGCCAAACGCCCGGTGCTGGGGGCCCAGCGCCACAAAGACATCGGTGAAGGCCAGCGGCTCCACCACTTTAGTCCACTTGAGACGGACACCTTCGTGGCTGTGCGCGGTGGCCTCATAGTGGTAGCGGCAGGGCAGGACGATGGTGCCGCCCCGGTGGCTGACCACCTGCCCCGGCGCTGTCTGCACCACCACCGAGCCCGACTCGCCCTCTGTGGGGGACCAAGGAGGGTTCAGGTGAAGTCCTAGGGGTGGGGGAGGGGACCTGGAAAGGGAGATTCTGGAAAGCAGTGTTTCCCAAAGTGTGGTGGGGGTACGCGTTGCACCGGAGTTTGGTGGGGATATGCACTGCACCGTGCTTAGCTGCGCCTAATTCTACGTTCTCATGAGTACGAGGGGTACTCAGCATTATGAAAATTATAGAAGGGGTACACATATGTCAAAAGTTTGGGAAACACTGCTGGAAGGGGATGTGGTTATTAAACTTGGGTGGGGGTAAACCCCATGGGTAGAGAGGCTCACGGAGGGAACTGGGAGGGGGAGGAGCTGGGGGGTGGACTGTGGCCTTCAGGACCGCCCAGTGCCCTCCCTTTTCCCTCCCCCATGCGCCCCAGCGACCACACTGGGCCGCCCGTCTCCGACTCACCCAGCACATGCACCACCTTCTTCCGGCCGCGCTGCGCCCCCGCGAGGGCCACGAGCAGCAAGACTCCCCAGAGCATCCAGGGACCCAGGGCCGCCCGAGCCCACACCTGGGGGCACGGGGCATTCAGTCCAGCCTCCCGGCTTCTGCCTTTGGGAGGACAGACCCCTGGCTTCTCACGTGCCCGGGCCTCCTCCTCGTCTAGGGTCCCAGAGGAGACCCCCGGGAAGGCCGGCAAAGCCCTCCCTCCCCATTCCCTCTCCCGGGGCTTCTTGCACAAAGCCCACCCGCCTGAACACACCTTCTCTGAGTCCTCCCCCTGACCCCCTAAATTATAAAACCTCAACTCCGGGGCTCGGAGCCCCGCTCCCTCTCTCCGGCCTGGGCCGGGGCAGCGGGAGGAGGGAGGAGCTGAGCAGCAGCCGCGGCAAGGTTATCCGTGCGCCAGGAGACTGCAGCAAACCGGCCGGCGGTGGGGGTGAGGGATGCGGGGGAAATTGTTGAGAAAAGGAGAAAAAGAGAGAGGGAGAGGGAGGGAGAGAGAGAGAAAAGGGAAAGAGACACAGAGAGAAAAGCAGGGAGAGATGAAGACAGAGAGAGCCAAAGGGAGAAAGAAGAGGAAGAAAAGTCGGAGAGAAACATGCAGAGGGAGAGGCAGAGACGGAAAAAGAGGAGAGGAGAGCGCGCAAGAGGGAGAGAACACAGACAAGAGGGAGACATCAGGACAGCGAGAGGCAGAGAGACTCCGAGGGAGAGACAAGGAGGGAGAGACGGAGACGGACAGAGAAGGAGACGCAGGGAGTTTGAGAAGCAGGTGAAGAGACAGGAGGGATGGGAAAAATGGAGCGGGGGAGAGGAACACGGAGGATGCAGAGACAGAGAGAGACTCCTGGAGAGGGACCTCTTGGGACCCGCGCCGCGGCCCCACTCACCATGCTGCCCGCGAGGCCCCCGCCGAGCGGACCCTGCGCTCCGGGACTGCGCTCCTGGCACCGAGAGGAAGGACCAGGCAGGTCTCCGTGGGCAGCGCAATCCCGGTGACTGCCTGCAAGGGGAGGAGGGAGGCGGGCAAGGTGCGGGGTTTGGGGGGGAGGGGAGGCTGTTAAAGGGAAAGCGGAGGCGCGCTGGAAGGAACCCCGGGTGCGGGTTTGGGGAGGAACTCCTGAGAGTGAGCGCAGGACCAGCTCCCTGCGCTGGCCGGCTGGGCCTGCGGGGGACCTCTCTGGGGCTCAGGTTAACCATCTTTAAAACGGAGGCGAGGGGCCTGGTGGAGTCTCCCACCTCAGATTCCCTGCATCGACAAGGGGCTGAGTAAGCTGGAAAAGGAGCTTGGTCTGCAGGTCTGTTTTTCCCGGTTGTCACTGGGTGGCCATCTCGTTGTCCTGGGCGCTGGCACTGAAGAGGTGCTCACTGGGCGAGGTGGGGTCCCACAACCATGACCCACTCGTGCAGCGACAGATCCACATCCGACTCTGCCCCTCACCCACTGGGGACCTTAGGAGAGAGCTTGGCCTCGCTGAACCCGTTTCCACCTCTGGGGAATGAAGTATGTGACGATCCAATGGGTAGACATACAATAGATGCCTGATGAGTGTTGGTAGGTGGAAGAGGGTCTGATCAAGCCCCCCACCCCACTCTGGGCCTATCACCCCTGAATCTGGTCTTTCATCCAGGTACAATAATCAAACCTGGAAACAATGAGCGCTTCCCCAAACCCCCTGACTACCTCCCCAGGCTGTTTCCCCAAAGTCTGAGACAGCCAGGCAGGGCTTTGTGGTGGAAGTGGCCAGGGCCTGGTTCCTATCTTAACTGCGTCCAGGAGGTATAACCCCAGACCAGGACCTTCTTCTCTGGCAGGCTCAGTTTCCCCATCTGGCATAGGGGGTAAGACCCAGCATATTGTATAGCAAGTGAGGTTAGCCCTGGGCATGGTAAACAGTAGGTGCTTAATAACGATGCCACACTATTTTTTGAAAATACATTTTATTGATTTTTTACAGAGAGGAAGGGAGAGGGATAGAGAGTTAAAAACATCCCACTAAGGATGAGCCTGCAACCAAGGTACGTGCCCTTGACCAGAATCGAACCTGGGACCCCTCAGTCCACAGGCCGACGCTCTATCCACTGAGCCAAACCGGTTAGGGCCACGCTATTAACTATTATAATTTACTAGCAGAAATAGGAATTCGGACTCTTGTCCTGACTGACTCCAGGCAGGTTCGGATCCTCTCCAAGTCTGTGTTCCCCATCTGGGAAGTGGAGCTGTGCACACCGACCAGAGACAGACTCCTGCTGTCCGGCACCTTCTGTTCCTGACAGTCACACTGGCAGTGATGGTGGGCCTTGGTGGGGTCTGAAATGACAGTCCCTCACCCCTGCCCCCTGGAACACTCCGGCAGCAACCTTTTGGGCATCCAAAGGGCTTTTAGTGAAAGGATCCCTGGGGGTATTAGGCAAATGTGGCAAGGGAGTAGAAGAATCCAGAGGTTGGGAGCAGTGACAGCTGAGTGTGGCTGGGGCCCTTTCCGCCTGAACACCCGGCCTGTGGGTTTCCCCTCCCACCGGCTGGCCTTGAGACCATCTTAGCCAGAAACAGAGACACCTGGGTGTACCTCCTGCCTCTAAACACCCAAACCATCCTTCTAGGGACAGGGCCAGCGGGTGTGTTAAAGGAGTCCTGGGCGTCACACAGGCCCCCTCAGTGCTGCTTCTCGTGGAGGACTTGGGGGCGGGGTGGCAGGTGCTGGAAGAAGGCTGGTCGCTGCAGGCAACGGAAGGCCAGCAGGTGAGGGCCCAGTGCATACAGCATGTTGCACACGAAGAAGCTGGCCCAGGCATCCTCCGGCACACGGTAGGTGAAGGGTGTGCGCAGGTGCATGGAGGCGCCCATGTGTGAGAACTGTGCCTGAAGGCCACACAGGGAGGAGAGATGTCAGGGGCTGGGAGAGAACCAGTCCCAGCATCCACAACATCCCACCCTGGGAGCCCAGGGGTCCCTGTCCCCATCTTGCTGGCTCTGCTGACCTACCTGCCTCCTCTTTCCAGTCCATCTGTCTGTCTCTAAATATCCCTGTCCCTACGGCCCTGTCTGTCCTGTACATCTGTCTGTGAGCTTCTCCCCAGCTGCCTAACCAGAACCATGTTCGCTGTGTCTGCTGGACCCTACACCCTATCTCTGTCCAGCTCTTCCTCAACCCAGACAGCTGCCCTTGACACAAATTCTGTTGATTACACCAGAGATGTCCTCCTGGTTCCCACTGCTCTGACTGGGGCCCGGCCTTTATCATATCCCGTCAGGAATCCAGAAATAGACCCCTAGCTCTGACGGTCCTCCACTGCTCAAACACCTCCCACGGTTCTCCATCTTTCTACACAGAAGCCCCCCAAGGTCAGAGTTCAAAGCCCTCAGCATTATCTAGCTGCCAGTTTCTCCAGCCTCTGCTTTTGCCCTTGTTATGGCTCTGCTATGTCACTGTGCCCCTCTGTGCCTTTCCTGAAGCTGTTCCCATTCCTGGAATGTCCTTCCCTGCCTGGAGCACTCATACCCACACGGCGTAGCCCAGTTCCTACGCCCCCTCCTGTAAGAAATCTGTCCCCTCTGTAATCCCTCCCAGCCTCTCCCTCTCCCTCTCTTCAGTTCTGACCCCATGGGGTTGGGGATGGTCTGTGTCTGGCTCTTTCTCTTCCAGACTAAGGAATCCTGGGGTACTGAGCTGGGGCTGGGGCCGCTCAGGGGTCCAGCATCACCCTGCCCAGGGAGATAACAAAAGAAATCGATGGGTAGGCAGAAGCTCTCTTTCTTGTGCACCTGACCCCCAACACCCCACCGCCACCTCACCTGGCCAATGGCTCCAGCAAACACCAAGGCCCAATCAGGTAGCCAGGAACAGCCGGGGAAGATAAGGGCATAGGCCGCCAGGCCATAGAAGGGCAACGTATAGAACATGTACACCAGCATCTGTGATGAGCAGACATGATGAGCAGGATGCCCCCGATGGTCCTCCTGAGACCCCTCAGGTGAGAATCCTAGGGAGGCTCCGGCCAGCCTCAGACTTCACCCAGGATGGAGGCTCTCTGTACATCCTACCCTGTGCAACCTGCACCTTTATTTCCTTTGGGGGTCCCCCACCCTTCCCACTGCCCCCCCCCCCCCCCCCACCACCACCTTACTTCTGTCCAAATGATCAGCTACAAGATGGGGATGTGATTCAAACCTAGCCAATCCGAGCCTGCCTGAGACTTGTGCTTAAGCTCTGGGGAGATGAAGGCTCACTTTCCTGTGGGGTAGCTAAGTAGGTCAGAAGGAAGCCTGGCGCTGCCCAAGGCTCTCTCTGCCATTCCACAAAGGGACCAGCTGGGAGTGGAGCCCATGCAGAGAAAGTAGAGCCCAGAGACAGAGCTCTCCTTGAGCTCCTGGATCCAGCCATACCTGAGACCATACCTATACTTTTTTCTCTTTTTTTTTTAATAAGACAATTATTCCATTTGAGCTTCTGCCAGTTGGACTTGTGTTTCTTGCACCTGCTTCAGAGAAACCCAGCGGATCCCTGCACATGGCAGGGTCATGGTCCTTTCCTCCCACCTGCCCTCTCACCTGCACCTTTGGGTAGGCCACAGGGTCCCGTAGGTATGGTTCGTACTGATAAATATAGACAAAGCAGGCATCCGTGGGGCAGTCAAGCACCACCTGTGGCCAGCAGACAAACCAACAATCACCTCCAATAGCCCTCCCACAAAAAGCTTTCCCCACCCTCCCAGGCAGGGCTCACACCCCTCACTCTACCCTCCCCCAGCCTTGGTTCAGTCCTCTGGCTGAGAAGCCACAGATCTTGGGGCTGGGGAGAAGGCTACAGGGAATGGGGCTTAGTGGGGAAACACTCAGGTCAGACGCAATGAAGAACTTCCCTGATGGTCAGATGGGAGAGCAGTGACCCTCTTGCACTGAGTAAACATATGTGGAAAGGGAAGGCCAGGGAGGGAGGCTGAAGGCAGGAGAGGCGTAGGCTAGCCAGACTCACAAGGCCCCGGAAGAGGGTGAAGAACCCAGCAAGGATGAGGTATATGACGAGAGCCAGGTCAGCCGGGCGCTGCAGGAGGCCCTTTCTCTGCTCCTCCTGCACCTGGCCCATGAGAGAGAGAGAGACAGAGACTGTGAGAATTCAGCAATCCAACAGGCACTCCGTAAAAGCTCATCCCTTCTTTCCTAATGACCAAGGAGAGCCTTCCAAGGAGGTAACGGTTTTGACCAGAAACAACTCAAATGGGGAGACTGCGGTAAGTGGGCACAGGCATGCCTGCAGGCAAGGCGCTTACCGTGGTTGGGGGGTAGCAGGCTGGTGGCCGGGCCTGGTTGAAGATCCTCACACCAGCCCAGCATGGGACCAGCACATATGGGATGGTGAGGAAGAAGGCTGGCCTGATCTCTGAGCTGTATTTCCCTGTCATGGTAGGAGGATGAGTAATAGTCAGGAAGTCCTAGGCCTGGCTGGGTCCTTTAAGTGGGCCACACCAGAGCCCCTGGATGGAAGTCATAATTCACAAATGCCATACTTGCTCAGCTTTTTCTTTTTTCTTTTTCTACTCGCTCAAGATTTAACACATGTGCCGAAACCGGTTTGGCCCAGTGGATAGAGCATCAGCCTGCGGACTGAAGGGTCCCAAGTTCGATTCTGGTCAAGGGCATTTACCTTGGTTATGGGCACATCCCCAGTAGGGGGTGTGCAGGAGGTAGCTGATCGATGTTTCTCTCTCATCAATGTTTCTCTATCCCTCTCACTTCCCCTCTGTAAAAAATCAAATATATATATATATATATATATATATATATATATATATATATATATGATTTAACACATGTGGTTCATCAGTGCCCACAAGGTGATGTCCATGCTCCTCAGACTGGCCTACCTCAATTTACCTTCTGGACACAGCTCATACACGTTAGCTGTTCTTGGCTCCCCCTAGAAACACCCCTCCAGGGTGAAGTGGGGAGAGATAGGCAGGTTGCTGGCTTAGACTATGCATGAACAGGACTGTGGGGCCCTCTTCAGACCTTGG